CTGCTCGTGCACGCGAGAGGAGATTAGCATAATTACCACCCCAAAAACACCATATAAGGCTATGTTTCCTGCCTCAGGAAGTATCAGGAAGCCTCAGGAATATCAGGAAGTGTCCATTCATGAAAATGACAGCGAAAATTAAAAAGAAGAACTTTACGAGTTCAGAGATTGAAGTCCGTCTGTCAGAGATCCAGAAAAGAAAATCTCTCATTTTTAGCAGGTCAGCTGTGGAATAAAATGAGCTGCTAAAAGTATAAACAACTGTGTTAAATCATTTTTATCGGGTAAGACAACTGTCAGAATTATTGTATGTGTAAGAGTCTAAATTTATACATATGTTTATAAACGTAAATGAATTTGTTACAACTTTGCCACATTACAAGTACGAATCAAATTTACAAGTACAATTCTTTTACCTGTCAAAATAACAGGCATTATGCATGGAACACAGAAAAGATCGATTGCAAACTGTTACTAAGCCAGACCACTGGGGGTCATGACCACTGCCTCATCTGGGACCAGATGAACTCTATAAACACAATTTGCTGAAGGGAAAAGCATTTGGAGGCTTTTCAGTTTGTCATTCATGTCATGTAGTACAACAATAAAGTAGATGGTGGATTTATGATGAACAACCAAAAAAGAAAACTGATGCATTCATAAAACCGACTGCATAATGGAAAAAATAATGCAAGTTCAAAAACACAAAACGGCAGTGCTCTGACCCGGCCAACAGGAGGACTGAAGTCCACCATCAAACCCCTGAACAACTGTAAGTTAAACTCTTTTTACTTTTAATAGTGGTTTGTATTATTTATTTCACATTTGGTACACGTAGTACTTGTCTGTATTTGTAAGAGGATGTGTTTAAACAGTTTCTGTGCTGAAAGTAGAGCTTTGTTGATTGTTGTTGTTAGCATGGTGTTAGCATTAGCATGATGATAATAGGAAAGAAAAAAACATCCTCATGTTTYMTGTTCAGTTGAAGTTTATTTAGAACGGCTTGAAAAGAACAAAAACCTAATTGGTGTTAACTGTGAATTTAAAAAGCTTTCTCTAATTATATTTTGTTTTGTCTATTAAGACCTTGTTGGCTACATTTTAAAGCTTTGTCAGAACTACACAGACATTGATTTTAATTAGAATCACCATAAATCAAAGTTAAACTGTGTTTAACCAAGTTAATCTATTTTTAACTACTACCAAACTACTTCCTTCAGATTTCAGTGACCAATATGTGTAGAAAAATGTTTGCTGTCTGATTAATGAGWCTGCTGGATGTGACTGTGTGATATTATAACTGTGTTCTTTTTAATTTACTTTTATTCAACATGGACCTGAATCTGTTTGTGGACCCACTGAGGACCTGTCTCCAGACCTTTGTATCAGAGCAGGACTGAGACCATCAGGCTCCATCAGTGAGACTACAACCAGTGGAAGCCAGTTCCACCCCACATCATGTCAAATAGTTGTATTAGCAGTAATATTATAAACTTAATAGAAATAAAGTTAATATACTTCATTAAATAAAGTTAAAATAAATCAGTCTTGTTAACCTGTTGATTTTCTGTGATTCAGATAAGTGCAGTTGATGCAGCGAGCAGCATTCAGCCCATCCATGGACCCAGAACAGATGTCCTCTACATCCAYACCTACATCTGACAGGCAGGTGGACGAGGAGGTGATGGAGTTCCTGACCATCTGAAGAACTGAACCAGCAGCAGGATGAGGAGCTGATGGAGTTCCTGACCATCTGAAGAACTGAACCAGCAGCAGGATGAGGAGACACTGGAACAAAATCTGTCCATCTGGGTTTTAAAGCCTTCATGACAGCTGAAAAATTCAGTTAATGCAAATGTACAGTTTTAAAATGTCCTGTTTAGAGCTGAGGAAGTCAAACACCAGGCCTTGACATGTTTTTTAAACTCAGGATGTTTAATCTGTT